ATAAAGCCTAAATAAGCATCCCTGCTTCTATTTGTGTGTGGTTGTGAGCATGCATAAGTGTATAAGGCTTCTCTAATAGAACATTTATTAGTAACTGTGAAGCAGCAGAGACCCGACCCCCAAGACCAGAGGCAGATGAAAAAGGGGGGACCAGAGTCCAAGACCCCAGGAGGGACCCCAACCGCGGAGCCCCCAGAGCCACCCACACAGGATGAACCACTCACCCACCCCCCAGAACGGACCACAGGGGAGAACCGGAAGATCCCCACCAGCAACCACATACAGTGACCCCCCGGGGCCAACAGCGACAAACTCATAGGCCCCCGTCGGCACCCGCCGCACCGATGTAGGTCCAGGTCCAGGCACCGAGGCCCGGGCACTGAGGACTCACACCACCCAGGCCAAGGCCTGACAGGGCCAGGGGACCCGAGCCCCACCAGGCAGACACCAGGCCGAGCCGACACACGCCCAAGCGCCCAGCCCCCGATACCAAGGGCCCCAAGCGCGCCGGCAGGCAAGGGCACACCCCACCAGGGGGCCGCGCGATAGGGGCGCGATGCCAAGCACCCCCAGTTGTATCAAAGAGGGGGCAGTCCGAGTCTTGGCCTAACAAATATCCATTCATACACAGACACAATCACACTATCCCAACCTCAATCTCACATTCATTCACTCAAAGACATACAATAACGATACATTTCATTCTTATTCCCGATACACACTCTAAACCCCCCAGGTCCAAGACATGTACCCGCCCTCTACAGGGGGCAGCCCATGCCCAAACCCAGGAGGTAAACCCATTCATTCCTGAGCGGAGAAGAGCCAATACCCCAGAACCGGCCCAGGCCATGCCCCGCCGACAGGACACCCCCCCACCATGAAGAGGACACGCCACCAACCACCCCCACACACCATCAACAACCAAGCACGCACCCCCAGCCGACCGCCTGCCAGGCCCCGGCAGCCACCCCGGTCAGCGGGCCAACCATGTCACCCAAGAGCCAAGCTCAGGGGGTCCAAATAACCCCAGGGAGAGCACAGCGCCAGCACCGCCCACGGCAACCCCCAGACCCCGAACCCCCACATAGTCCTGGTCAACACCTGACGGCCTGCCCTTCTCCCGGACCCCACCCCCGGAATGGCAGTCAGGGAACTAGGTGGGTAGGAAGAGGAGAAAAAAAATAAATAAATAAATAAAAATAAGACCCCGACACATACACCCCCACCCCTAGATGTGCTGTTGATGTGTGTTGTTGTAGAGTGCCATTAAAAAGGAAAGAAGAAGGAGCAAAGGCTGGCAAGGTGCCAGTTTCCCCTCCACCCCAACTCTATCCAACCCTAGTGTCTAAATGTAACCGTTGTAAGTGAGCACAGGCACAGGGGGTGAGAGTAAGGTCATCCCACCACCCATAGCCATGTGCCCACTTCAAATTCCTATATATGAATGTCATGAGGATGTTATGAATGAATGTCTAAGGTGTACAATAAAATTGAGTCCCAGGTGGCTATGGTCAACAAAGATGTAAAATTGTTGCAGCACACCCGAGCCCAAACAACCCTAAATGTGTGGAATTGAAATGAAGAGGGTGGAGGTGCATGGTGAGGGATGGGGAGAAATAACTGTGAGAGCAAATGCTCCCACAGGGAGTCAGCTCCCCCACTGACCCAACAGCCCCCCCCCAAATTCTACTTTAGCGTTGTGCAAACTGCATGTTTGTGGCAAAATGTGTGGGGTATGGCCCGATAAGGACAAGGCCTTGCACGTGCTTCCTGATTAGGCCTCACATGCGGCCTTGTCTCACACAGCTGCTTCCTGATTAGGCCTCACATGTGCTCAGGGGTGCGGCCTTGTCTCACACAGCTGCTCAGGGGTGCGGCCTTGTCTCACACAGCTGTCAGCAATGTAATTAGTGACTGTATAAGAGGCAGAGCTGGCAGGATTTGACACTCAGTCAGTGGCCAGCACGAGAAGGAGACACACCAGACGACTCAGCAGAGGTAAGATCCACCCACCCACCCACCCACCCATCCATCCATCCATCCATCCATCCATCCATCCACCCACCCA